CACGTCACCTTGAAGGCTGGGTGTCTCAAACTCTCCATGGATGTTTTGTCAACAGACGCTCTACACACCTTTCCCTCCTCCCACCTATGTGTGTGAGCTGGTGTCTGGCAGCAAAGCCTATGTTCTAATGCTAAGCACCTTCAGCCAAATAGTTCACAAAATAAGTGTTTTTTTTTTTTTTGTTTTGTTTTTTGGTTACAAAACTTTTAAATATGAAATCCGAACTGGAATTTAAACATGTGCAGCCACGATGAAATATTTTTTTCTATCTGTTTTGTAGGTGTTTAAATTATCTGTGTACTTTCAAGCACACAGACTCTCCAGCATCCATCAGAGGTACCTCAGCAGCACCCTCCACAGCCATACTTTCCACGGCACTGACTGCAAACTGCTTTTACAAAAATGATTTTCAAATCAACTTTTTGCAAATATTAAATGAATGCATTTTAATTGTCACAAACTTGAATTCATGTCAAATACAAAGCAAATACAAATGATAAATTCAGATGATCAATAATTGTATTAAAACATAGTAAAAYACATACATCTAAAAAGAATAAAAAGAGGAATAAAAAATAAGATGCACATGCTGTATACTTTAAAACAAAAGTTTGTCCCGCAAGTGAAACTTACTCAAACATAATAAAAAATAATAATAAATCAAAGCCCAGGAGCAAAATCTGTGGTAAATGGGACAAGATGAATTGCAACAAGACATTGCTCTGCCTAAATCTGTCACTGACAAAACACAATCCTGTCCAGGTTAAAGGTAAATTAACTGTTAGGTCCTGACTGACTATCTGTCACTGACAAAATAAAATTCAAGAAATAAATCTTACTACTAATGCTGTTCTGGTATATATGAAAATATTATCATTATCTTCCTTTAGATTCATTCATATGAATTATGCTGCTGTATGATAAAATGCAAAAAACAATTTTGAACAATTCTTAGTAATTAGTGAAAACTGATTTCCAGTTTGCGTAGATTAAATACTCTTGGTCTTATGTTATGGGACAGGATGAGAAAACTGATCTCCTCAGGCATCCAAACCTCTACTTTAAAAACACTGCTAAAGCTTTTAAAAAATATAACTGTGCAGTTCAAAGATGTGATTGATACATGTTAGGAAACAGAGGATGGAATAAGTGCGCACATGCTAAAGTTATATAAATCACATCTAAATGCACATTTGTTAACATGTACTGTCTCTGTCTCCGTTAAACCTGTGACTATGGCTAACTGACATTAGGGAAAATTTGGAGGTTGAGTTAAAAATCTTGTGAAAGTGACTCCACCATCTAATGGCATTTTTGCAATAAAAGGTCTGGTTCTGCTAGGCGTCAGTCAGCCTGGCCTTATTCTACCCCAGCCCTGGTTGTATTTGTTTAGAACAGAGAGCCGTCTTGATGTGGCCAGGGACCTTAATATTAATATTATTATTGTTGTTGTAATAATAATAATAATAATAATAATAATAATAATATTATTATTATTTGGGACACAACAATGGACTAAACCAAACTTGAAGGGCAAGTATCAAAGACAGTACATGACCATCCAACAGTATGAAACCGAAAACAAGAGGGCAAGATGGCAGAATCTAGTAAGCTAATGGTAGCTTATTGTTGCTTAGTAACTTGCTACATTTATTATATAGCTGAGCTCGGGCCAAGCAGCCTGGCTCAAATAAAACCACAGGTGTCACGGTTCTAGAAATCAAGACGGAACTGGGCCATAAGGGCTACTGCAAACATGTGGAACCCGGGTTTGAACCCAGGCCAGACCAGGCAAGGCAAGGCTGGGCCAGGCCTTGTAGTGCAAAAAGGCCTTTACAGACCAGTCAGATGTGACCTGAGTGGAGATGAATCCATTTTTCTCTGTATTCAGCTGTGTTCTTGTGTGTGTTAACGCCTGTATCCAGGATATCTAACAGCCTTACAAATGCCATGTCAAACAAGAGTTTGGTTCCCTGGTATTTGGGCAGCAACATGTGGTGGAGAAGCTTTCACAGTTCCAGAGGTGCAGTGTTGAACCAATAGTTGCTCTGGTGGACGTAGAAACACCAACATCACAGTAATGTTATCGGTAGATCCTGCTGCCTTGGCCTCACCTACCAATTTCTGTGCCACCTTCTGTCCCACACTGACCTCAGAGGACTCTGGTGGAAAACATTCTCCAGCAGTCTGCTGGAGTGCTTCCACAACCATATATGGAACCTCTGATGGTTTGACTGCATCAAAGAAGCCGTCACATGCTAGCAGCACGTAGTCCTCATCACCCAATAGCTGGATTGTTGAACAGTCTGCATCTCCGGACACATAAGGCTTCTGGTCAAAGTCACCTAAAGAAATGATGTGAGAGTGTTCAGCAGCTGATATTTAAAACACATTAAAACAGGTCTGACACTGAAGAGGGACTTTTCTTCTCATTCACAGCATAAAATAAAAAACATTATGACAGCATTTTCTGATTGCAATAAAAGACACTTATACGTAATAAGGAGTGCCAGTGGCACGAAGTGATCCTAGGATGGTCCAGAGAGATACCCCCCAGAAAATAAAATAAAATAAAATAAATTGTTCCACGTTCCTCTGATTCCTGAAGCATTCTGAAAAATACTGGTGCCAGAATACTCCAGAATTCTTCATAAAATTCTGCTGGGAACCCGTCCGGACCTGGGGCTTTCTTGTTCGGCATGTTTTTAATAGCTTCACATAATTCAGCTGATGTTATTGGAGAGTCTAGTTCTAAAGACTGGCTACTGGATAATTTTGGAAGTGATACTTTTTCCAAAAATTGTTCAATATCCTTATCTGAAGGGTTTATCTGCGGAGTGTATAAAACTCGGTAAAAGTCTCTGAAAACATTATTTACTTCTCCCTGATCATAAACTATATTCCCAGTTTGTTTTTAATACCAGATATAGTTGTTTTTTCTTTATTTATTTTAAGCTGGTTAGCTAAAATCTTCCTGATTTATTACTATGTTCAAAATTTTCTAATCGAAGTCGTATCAAGAATTAATTTTTTTTGTCTATGTATTCATTTAACTCTAATTTTGCCTTCCGCATTCTTTGCTGTATTTCTTCGCCTTGCAAAGTTCCTAACAATTTGATGGCTTCCTCTAGTTCGTGAATACGTTCAATTTCTTTTTTCTTTTTATTTGTTGAGTATGCTWTTATCTTGCCTCTCATAACTGTCTTCYCTGCCTCCCAGAGAGTAGATGCTGATGTTCCTGGTAAGTCATTATACTCTAGATATGATGTCCATTCCTCTTTAAAATATTTTAAAAACTGTTCATCATTGAGCAATGATGTATTAAATCTCCAATTTATGTTTGTTTTTATTTCTTTCTTATTAACTAAGGTTAAAGAGACTGGTGCATGATCACTGACAGCAATAGGGTGTATCTCACTGTCTAAAATATTGGCCAGCAATGAACTGCTGACTAAAAAATAGTCCAGGCGAGAATAAGAGTGATGAACATGTGAGAAGAACGTATATTCTTTGTTGTCAGGGTGAAGAGCACGCCATGCATCGCAAAGTCCATAATCACTCATATATTGTTTATGTTTGTGGATTGCCAACTGCGCTGAGCTCCAGCCGTATTCRTCCTGTCAATGTTATTATTTAGACCAAAGTTGAAATCGCCTCCAAGAAGCAGTGAGCAATCCAGGTGATTTGATAGAACAGAAAAGAAATCATGAAAAAATGAGGTATCATCCACATTTGGACCATATATGCTTGCAATACAGTATTTTTGGCTAAATAGAGAAAATTTTAATATTATATATCTACCCTTGGGGTCAATAACTGTATCTAATACTGTGAAGTTGATATTTTTATGTATTAATATTGCTACCCCTCTTTGTCTTGCATTATAACAGGCTGAGAATACGTTAGGGAACTCAGGAGATTTAAGATCATCTATAGTTGAATTTAATTTATGAATTTCTTGTAGTAATACAACAGCTGCCTTTAATCTTTTAAGCTGGTTAAAAACTCTATATCTTTTCTGTTGCTAAAAATGTATCTTAAATCTAAAGGTCGCAAACCTTTGCTTCAGAGGCTTTGAAAGCTCGACAGGGCTGATAGCTGCTTTGCATTTCAAAATATCATTTCATGTTATAATTGATAATATTAATAATTTTTATATATTACTTTATATCRTAAGAGCTAGTCATTAAATAAAGTATAAATCCAACAATATTTTCACAAGAATAACATAAAACTGTTTCCACTGGACGTGATGAGAAATGTAGGTCACTTAGTTCTGATAGGTTAAGAATGACTTACCAATTGCCCTGGAAACAGCATATGTGCCATTAACTCGCCAACAGCCCATGTAGGCAATACAGCCACCAAGATCTTCAATTCTCTGTTTTTCATCCTGTAAAGTTCAGATGAAGAACTTTTCTCAAAATTTGGCATTTCTCAAATTCATTGTATCTAAGTAAGTGCAGTTTTGTCAACGTCATTTTGTTTACAGCACATAAAAACAAAGATGAAGTGTTTAACAAATCATTCAAACAAACAGGTAAAACAACAATAAGGACAAAGAACCGCAAGTAAAATAACATAACAGATAATGCAAAAAAATATAGAAATGCACCATAAAACCATAAGCTCAAACTGGTTCTCAAACACCACATTAATCAAAAGCCAAAGAAAAAGAAAACAGATGGGTCTAAGCATAGATTTCAAGAGACTCAACAGTCTCAAGAAAAGCCCAATTCCCTTTATATTTTTGTTTGGATCTTGGGACTTGTAGATTCTGCTTGATAAACTGAAGTGCTCTCACTGGAATGTAGATGTTAAGGAGATCACAAAAATATGATGGGGCCAGACTTTTTAAAATTTTAAAAGCAAGCAGTAAAATCCTAATATCAATCTAGAAACAGACAGGAAGTCAGTGGAGCTAAGGGTAGCATGAAGAACCCCTTCCTCTAACACCCCTGTTAACTGACTCTTCCTTTCTCTAAGCAGAACCTCCCCTGCCTCCTTTGGTGATGGCAACATTTTAAATGTGGACTCATGGCAGATTTAGAGGTGAGGCTGTCTTTATTAGAAGCTCGGCTTTGCACCGTTGAGAAGCCAGCAGCTAGCCAGGCTAGCATTGAGCTGCCGAGAGAAGCCTCTTCTGTAAGCGGTCCCTCAGTGGATCCCCTGAGGCCACCGCCCCGAGCTAGCTGGGTGACGGCTCAGAAAAAGCACAGTGTTAAAGCTAAACCTTCCGACCGTCATCCCGTTCATGTTTCTAATCACTTCTCCCCACACAGCGACACTCTGGTCGAGAAGCAGACCCTGGCAGCTCCATAGTCCGAAACGTGGATCTAGGGTTTCTCAATGGGGGCGGTACCGCCTCCTAGGAGGCATTGTGACGGTGCCAGGGGGTGTTGGCAGCAATATTTACAAAAAGGGGGCGCTGTAATACATTTGGGGGGCATTTGCTTGAAGGTAAAATTTTCACCAAAGATTCACAACAGCACTTTAAACTTTGAACTGCTTGTGAAAAAGGGGTCTGTAACATTAACCCTCTTACACCGAGCGTGTTGGGCCGACGCAGACACATTTTGTCCTCTTTTTTTTAAATACCATAAGTTCTCGACCGTTTATGCTATCTGAAAAATTCCAACGGTTCATGAAAGCCGAGAATCTGGGCTTTTCGCTGATATATGGGGTTTTACGGTAATATTACATGACTAGCTGCAGCGGGCCCGGGAAGCAAGGTGTTTGTTTAGCCTTGTCTGAAGACACTCAGTGCAGAGTGAAGTGGAAAGTTACAAGTGACAGCATGTTTTTATCAGAGCAGAGAGGAATTTTGCTAGAATAATGTCTGAAAGATGTTCTTCAAGAGTCATCAAACCATCACGGACATTCCAGGATGATTTTGAGACCTAAGAAGACTGTGAGGAATCGGCTTCTTGTGAGGACAGGTAACGTTAAGTTTGATGGATTTTCTGAGCGCATCATTCTTGTGAATGAAGCCAGTTTTTACTCTTATATTTTATTTTATGAATATGTGGATAGTTGTTTGTATGTTTGCTTTTATAACAGTGTAACAAGTAAGTTATTTTGTACAATATAAGCGTATTTAGAGTTAGTATGTGTAAATACTGTGCACATTTGTCTCCAAAAGGCAGTTTTTTTTGTATCAACCTACTGATGTTTGCTCTGTAAACCCTGCCTTGTTTTTACTATATACAGCAGGTAAAATAAGTACTGAACACGCCACCATTTTTCTCAGTAAATATATTACTAGAGGTGCTAATGACAATGAAATTTTCACCAGATGTTGGTAACAACCCAAGCGATCCATAGADAGAAATCAAACCATAAATGTCYAGAAATGAAGTTATTTGTAATAATGTGGAATGGCACAGGGAAAAAGTATTGAACAGGCTTACTGAAATTTATCTAATACTTTGTACAAAAGACTTTGTTGTCAATAACAGCTTCAAGACGCCTCCTGTATGGAGAAACTAGTGGCATGCATTGCTCAGGTGTGATTTTGGCCCATTCTTCCACACAAACAGTCTTCAAATCTTGAAGGTTTCATGGACCTCTTCTATGAACTCTGATCTTTAGTTCTTTCCATAGATTTTCTGTTGGATTCAGGTCAGGTGATTGGCTGGGCCATTCCAGCAGCTTTAGTTTCTTTCTCTGAAACCAACAGAGAGTTTCCTTGGCTTTGTGTTTGGGGTCATTGTCTTGCTGAATTGTCCAGCCACGTTTCATCTTCATCATCCTGGTAGATGGAAGCAGATTTTTTATCAATGATGTCTCTGTACATTTTTCCATTCATCCTTCCTTCAATTATTTGAAGTTTGCCAGTACCATATGCTGAAAAACAGCCCCACACCATGATGTTCCCACCTCCAAACTTCACTGTTGGTATGGTGTTTTTGGGCTGATGTGCAGTGCCATTTGACCTCCAAACATGATGTGTATTCTGGCATCCAAACAGTTCAATGTTGGTCTCATCTGACCARACTATATTCTCCCAGTATTTCACAGGCTTGTCTAAATGTTGTGCAGCAAACTTTAAAGGAGCTTCAACATGCTGTTTCTTCAGCAGTGGAGTCTTGCGTGGTGAGCATGCATACAGGCCATGGTGGTTCAGTGCATTACTTATTGTTTTCTTTGAAACAAACGTACCTGCTAATTCCAGGTCTTTCTGAAGCTCTCCACAAGTGGTCCTTGGCTCTTGGACAACTCTTCTGATAATTCTTTTCACTCCTCTGTCAGAAATCTTGCGAGGAACACCTGGTTGTTGTGTGGTGGTTGTGAAGTTCTTGAGAGAGCTCTTTACTTTTACTCATCATCAGATGGTTCTTGTGTGATACCTGGCCATCATTTGGGACTGAACCAGCTGATATTAACTTGCACTGACAAGGGTCAGGCTTGTTTTCTAATTACTGAGAGAGTTCAGCCGGTGTCTTGGCTTTCCATGCCTTTTTACACCTCCCTTTCTTCATGTGTTCAATACTTTTTCTCTGTGCCATTCTACATTATTACAAATAACTTGAATAACCTGGACACAAACCCAGCAGCGATAGATCCAGGTTAGCAGCTACACATGATCCTTCATCCCAGACTTGGTTTATGAGTTAAAATTACTTAATAATGACCTGATTTTTATGAAAAGCTGCTTTTTAAATAATCTTTTAGGAACTTATTAGTATTTTTATCTGTAGGTTGCATGATGTCATGTCAGTTTTGGTTATGAATAGGCCCATCAGTAAATTTAGGTGATTATCATAATTACACCTGTTTATTGGGTAAAATTATTAATGTTCATATTTTAAACATGTAGTTGAATCAGCACTGCTTGGCACAATGTCGTGTTACAAACAAAACTAAATCAAGAATAGAAAAAAAGTAAAATGGAACTCTAAACTCGTTTGATAAATCATCACATTAATTTCCTGATCTCGGCCAGCAGTGAGTTTAAAACCAGGATGATTCATACATGGACTATTGGATGGATCTGTCTCTAAAATAGTTATGAAATCAAGTGTTTATTTATGTAGGTAAAAATATGTTTAGCAACTTGTTAAAATACTCCAGAATGCAGGAAACAGCATCTACTTTCATCAAAATTTCCTGGGGGAGAACCCCCAGACCCCTCCCACCAGTGTGCCCTTCACACATACAGTGCTTCTAATCCATGAGTAGCAGCAAAGACAAGTATAGTAGGAGCACTTGTGTAAAAGAACTAAAGTCTGTCTCCTGGTGTCTTTGTGTTTTTGTGGAGGAAACCTGGTCTGATGTGGASAGATGGCATCCATCCCACCCTAACTGGGGCCGCTCTCCTTTGTAAGAATTTAGCTGATTTTGTTGACCACAGAAATTATTGACAATCCAGGGTCCAGATTAGGAAGCAGAGTTGTAGTCTTTCACACATCTCTGCTGCTTCTCCTTTATTACCCGCCCAACCCCCCATTAACATTGTGTCAGCCCCACGGACCAAATTAAATAAAAATAAAAACTCTAGAAAAATAAATCATAAAAATCTTATAAAAATAAACACAGTTACTTTACCAGAACAAAACAATAAAACCATTAGGTGTGGTTTATTAAATATCAGCTCTCTTTCTTCTAAGTCTCTGTTGGTTAATGATCTGATAACTGATCATCAAATTTATTGTGAGGATGTGTGTTTTGTCAGTCTGTGTTATCTCCCTCTTGTGTTCCCTCATTGTTATCACACATTCCCCTCAATCTAGTTCCTGCTGTTTAATCATCCTCACCTGTTGTCATCTCCAATCAATCCTGCCACCAGGTGTTCATCATTTCCTCATTCCCTCTGTTTGTATATATACTGGTCTTTTACTCTACACCCTCACTGGCTCATTGTTTGGTTTACCCAACTGTTACGTTTCTCCCTTGTTGTTATTGTTATTTAGTTTTTGCTGCCTTGACAGCTTTTTGTTTATTTTTGTTAAAATAAACATTTTTCTTATTAAAACTCTTACCTCCGTCTGGATTTGGGTTCTTCTCCTAGTCAAACTTAACATTTATTTATTCTGTCTTACTGAAACCTGGTTACAACAGGAGGATTTTGTTATTATAAATTAATCCACTCCTGTTAATTATTTAAGTTTTCATGTTCCTAGAACAAAAGGTCGTGGTGGAGGAGTAGCTGCAGTTTATAAGTCAGAACTATTAATTAATGCTAAATCAAATATTAGTTATTATTCATTTGAGTCTTTGTCCTTCAGTCTTTCTCATCCAAAATGGAAATCAGAAAAACCTCTACTACTTGTTATTTATCGTCCTCCAGGCCCTTATTCACAGTTTTTATCTGAATTCTCATATTTTCTGACAGATTTATTATTAAATACTAATAAAATTATAATAATGGGAGATTTTAACCACTTTGATATTTTCTGAAGATGTCAGGCTATTTCAAACTTTTAGAAACAGATTTGTGAACATGTTAATATATTCGGTGCAAAAATTCCTATTAAATGTGAAACGTACTTATGCGATTTCCCAACGACAAATTGGAATATTACTGACAAAAAATTACTGGGTTTGTTATTCGTTGCAAGCGGGAAAGCCATCACAAGAAAATGGTTGAAAGCTGAATCCCCAACCACCGAGGAATGGATTACCATTGTACACGAAATATACATCATGGAAAAGCTCTCTTTCACCCTCAAGATGCAAAAGGACATGTTTTACAAGAACTGGACTAAATGGACTGAGTATGTAAAACCTTTGAGATCTACCTTTACATGAACAATATGATATTGAATTTAAATAATTTGTTTTGTGTTATTGACATGCTTCCCGTGTGTGTATATGCATGTTTGACTTAAAAGTTAAAAAAATTCCTTTAAAAATTATAAAAAACTAATGGGAGATTTTAACATTCATGTTGATAGTGAAAGTGATAGCTTAAATGTAGCTTTTAGTAATCTAACTGAGTCAATTGGTTTTAATCAAAATGTCCACAGACCTGCTCACTCCCTTCATCACACTCTTCATCTGGTTCTAACGTATGGTATAAAGAGTAAGAACTTAATAATACATCCTCACAATCCTGTTCTCTCTGACCAGTTTTAATAACCKTTGAGTTTACATTAGCTGACTTTAAAGCTACTGAGAGTAAATTTCATTATAGTAGATGTTTATCAGAGAATGCTGTAGCTAAATTTAAAAAATCTCTTCCATCTTAATTTTCCTCTGTCTTACAGAATAATGTAACAGAGAACAGTAACTTGTTGATAATTTTACAACTTTAACGCAAACTTCTCTTGATGAAATTGATCCACTAAAAAAGAAAGTTATCGATTGGAGGAAGCCGACTCCTTGGTTTAATTCAGAGTTACGTTCTTTAAAACAGGCATCTAGAAAACTAGAGGGAAAATGGTGCTCCACTAACATAGAAGAATCTTATTTAACCTGGAGAGACAGYCTGTTAACATATAAGAAAGCCCTTCGTAAAGCTAGAACTGTCTATTATTCATCCTTAATAGAAGAGAATAAAAACAATCCCAGGTTTCTGTTCAGCACTGTAGCTAGACTAATGAAAAGTCCTATCTCTGATGAGCCATGTAACCCTTTAACTCTAAGTAGTAATGACTTCATGAGATTATTTATAGATAAAATAATTTTAATAAAGAATAAAATCCATGCCAATCTTCCTGCTACTGTCTYTGATTCTSATCAGATGAGGCAGCTTTAGTGTCACTAGATCCTGATTTATGTCTGGACAGTTTTTGTCCTGTTGAGCTCTCTGAATTATCTAAAATAATAGCTTCATCCAAACCATCAACATGTCTACTATCCCATCCCAACCAGACTGTTCAAAGAAGCATTTCCCTTAATTAATATCCATATTTTAGATGTACTTAATTTACTTTGAATGAATGGTAATGTGCCACAGAGCTTTAAGGTTGCTGTAATTAAACCTTTACTTAAGAAACCTGATCTTGATTCAAGAATTCCGGCCAACTATAAACCTATATCTAATCTCTCATTCATCTCAAAAATTCTTGGATTAGGTTAGATTGGTTTGAACTTGACGATGACCAGTCTGGACTTCAGCTGTGGCACAGTGGTTTGGGGTGGGGGTCGTCCAGGAATCGGAAGGTCACCGGTTCGATCCCCTGTCCAGCTGTCTCAGTTGTTGTGTCCTTGGGCAAGATACTTAACCCCAATGCCTCTGATGTGTGTCCCATCAGTGTATGAATGTGATTGGCACTGATTAGTCTCCACAGTTGATTGTACATGTTAGCTTTGTAGGAGATCTACTAGAGTGCTGTGTGAATGGGTAAATGAGGACACAGATTGTAGTGTTAAGTGCTTTGAGTGTCCTGGATGGTGATCGAACCGGCGACCTTCCGGTTCTGGGACTACCCCCTTAACCATTCCGCCACGGCCGCCCACATTTTGATTAATCCTAAATCCTTAAGCAGCAAAAATGCTACTACCGCATGCTTTTGGCTACTTGTCAACAGATGTCCGTTCACACCGAACACGTCTGAAGACACGCAATGGGAGGAGTGTCTTAGTTCATTTTCCGGTCTGTTGACGGTTGAAATAAAGATAAAATAAATAAAATGGCTTTGTTTTATTTACTAAATAGCAAGCGAACATTGCACACAGCAGATAATTAATTCACCAGATAAGAGGCACTCTGAACTGTGAGCTTTTTTTTTTAGACCGGGACCAGACAAGAGGAGAGGGAGGAAGGTCTTTTTTTTCCGGTCTGTCTTTAATGACGTGTGAAATAAAGTTAAAATAAATAAAATGGCTTTGTTTTATTTACTAAAGAGCAAGTGAACGTTGCGCACAGCAGATMATTTATTCACCAGATAATTCAGAGGTGGTTTCGTTTCACCACTCCAGGGACTGCGAGCTGAAGGACTTTTTTTGTCCCGAGCTCAGCGAGCTGCTGTCTCATCACATCTCCAGCCAGATCACCAACTGCAGATGATCAATTTCAGCTAAAAAGGCTCCTGTCCGTCTTTGTCAGGTTCATGAAACCGTCACATGAAAAAAATTCTCTCCCGATTGGTTGCTGCTGCGCGTCGAGCAGCCAAAGTTTAATTTGTTGAACTCCAGCAGCCGCTGCTTTGGACATGCTGCATGCACGGAAAATGCTCTGCCACATCTTACCGCTCTCTTGCGCGCTGCTCTAAACTGCCAAAACGTGCCACAACACGCTGCGCTGCTCCCAGATGCGCGGCCACCATAGACTTTGCATGTAAACTGGCTGCTTCGGCTGCTCAAAACGCATTTGGTGTGTACCTGGCTTTAGAATGCTGGAGCACAAACTGAGCACATTTCCTCACTCTGCTGTTACCTTTAGTCTCTCTCCTTGGGATGGGAGACTGTGATGAAGTGATTCAACGCGGCCTGCTGCCTTCTTCTTTAGATTGTTTTATTTTTATGTACAGTGCCCTGAGGCAACGTATGTTGTGACTTGGCACTATATAAATAAACTGAATTGAACTGAATTGAATTGAATAGATGATGCAACAGCTGTGGCAGTCACTGAGGGTAAAGGCAAACTTCCAAGTTGGCCACCATCCCCAGGCATCTGGCCAAGTCAAATGGGCAAATCACAMCGTAGTAAATATTCTAAAGAAATACGGTGCAGTCAACCACAGAGACTACGACATTAAACTGCCTCTAGTCCTGATGGTTATTTGGGCAACGCCACGAGTCCACAGGTGTCTCCCTGTTCGAGCTGATGACAGGTAGACAGACTATTTTCCAGACACATAGGTCAATTCTATGCCACAATCAAGTAATTATGTTACATTCAGTTGTTCTGAAAATGCTTTATGACAAAAATAAATCTGATCATACCCTATCTATACACCTTAAACAGCTCAGACTTATGGTTTCTTTATTTGTTCCTTTTGTTAGTTCACTGCAACAAAAAAGTCACATTTCACACATGTTGTGCAATAATTCTTTACCTTTTTAGATTAAAACATTCAGAAATAATTCACAGCAGAGATTTTTGTGTGAGTCACATCTTTACCTCTCTCTCTGGTTTATGGGGGTCCATGAGTGTAACAACTTCCCCACTTCTGACCAGTAATGCTTGGGAGTCTCCGAGCCAAGCCACAGTCAACTCCTGTCCTTGAATTAGCACTGCCACTCCTGTACTACCACTTCGCAGACGCTATTAACACACAGACAGACAAATTATTGAGGTTTAAACTGTATACAGACAATAGTCATGGCTGTGGCTCTCACTGGATTGTTGACTTGGAAGCTTGAGCAGTTTGGCTCGTGTCTTGTTTTAATTTGACTATACAGGCTAGCAGGGATTTGATTAAGTACCCAGAGAAACTCTTCATCTTACAATCAAAAGATCATTGTGGCTTAATAAATACGACTCAAAATAAGTGACATCTGAAACTCAAAAACTCCTACTGAGGAGGGTACAAAAGAGTAAAGAACAATCACTTCCACTTAGTGTCTTATTCAATCAAGCTCTTTTACAGAAATGTTACCCCACAGAACATCTACACAAAAACAGGTTTAAGGCAATTGCATTAACTTAAATTTTTTAAATAGGAGGTAATTAGGGTTAGGATCAAAAATCGACTCTGTTAACTTCAATTTATTTTGAAAACGCTTAAGTGCATTTCTGACTTGGCTAAAAGCTATTTAAGCAATTTTTAGCAAAGCAGCTAAAAACAGGAAAATCATAAACCTGCTATGAGGTAACATATTTCATGTTACCTCATTGCATTTTAAGTGGGAAGATTGGAAACATTGGTTTTACACATCATCAGGGCCTCATATATCAAACAGCACGCAGGTTTTCATAATAAAAGTTGCTTACAGATGAAAGTGGAAAAGTACGAACCATGCGCATGCATGTTTCTGTGCTCCTTTCATTCATACATCCCATCAAACGTGAAACTGAGTGCACCTGAGACACCTCTCAACACAMCTCTATTTCGTCCATCAGTTTTCATCAACTTATCCGAGATTGGGTCGTGGGGGCAGCAGCCTAACCAGAGACACCCAGACTTCACTCTACCCAGCCACTTGGACCAGCTCCTCTGGAGGAATCCCAAGGCGTTCCCAGGCCAGCAGAGAAACATAGTCCCTCCAGTGTCCTGGGTCTTCCTCTGGGCCTCCTCCCAGTGGGACGTGCCCAGAACACCTCACCAGGGAGGYGTCCAAGAGGTATCCTAACCAAATGCCCGAGCCACCTCAACTGGCTCCGCTCGACGTGGAGGAGCAGCGGCTCTACTCTGAGTCCCTCCCAGATGACTGGGCTTCTTACTCTATCTCTAAGGGAGAGCCCAGMCACCTTGCATAGGAAACTCATTTCAGCCACTTGTATTCGCGATCTCGTTCTTTCGGTCACTAACCAAAGCTCGTGACCATAGATGAGGGTAGGAACGTAGACCGACCGGTAAACTGCGAGCTTCGCCTTCACCACCATGACACACCGGTACAGCGCCCGTATCACTGCAGACGCAGCACCAATTCGCCTGTCGATCTCCCGCTCAATTTTTCCCTCATTTGTGAACAAGACCCCGAGATACTTAAACTCCGCTTGGGGCAGGACCTCCTCCCCGACCCAGAGAAGACACCCTACCTGTTTCCGGCTCAAGACCATAGTCTCGGATTTGGAGGCACCGATCCTCATCCCGGCCGCTACACACTCGGCTGCGAACTGCTCCAGTGAGAGATGGAGATCCCGATCTGATGAAGCCAACAAGACCACATCATCCGCAAAAAACAGAGATGTGATCCTAAGGTCAACAAAAAGGATCTCCTCAACACCTTGGCTGCACCTAGAAATTCTTTCCATAAAAGTTATGAACAGAATCTGTGACAAAGGGCAACCTTGGCAGAGTCCAACTCCCACCGGAAACGAGTCCGACTTACTACCGGCAATGCGGACCAAGCTCTGACACCGTACAGGGACCTAACAGCATGTATCAATGGGCCTGGTACCCCATACTCCCAGAGTACCCCCCACAGGAGTCCACGAGGAACACTGTCAAACACCTTCTCCAGGTCCACAAAACACATGTAGACTGGTTGGACGAACTCCCATGCACCCTCCAGGATCCTGCTAAGGGTGTAGAGCTGGTCCGCTGTTCCACGACCAGGATTAAAACCAGACTTCTCTTCCTGAATCTGAGATTCGACTATCTGACAGATCCTCCTCTCCAGGACCCCTGAATAGACCTTACCAGGGAGGCTCAGAAGTGTGATCCCCCTGTAGTTGGAACACACTCTGCGTGATATGATAATGATATGTTGCATTTTTGTTTACTTTAAAACGCAATTAGTTCTAGGGTTTTGAAAAATCTGTTTCTAAATTAGTGTTTAATAATTTGAATAATGACACAATTAATAAAAATATACATTACCAAATATTTCATTCAACTGAGATTGTGTGTGTAAATTACAATCAACTCAAGATTTTTCAAATGAGATTTTCCCAACAGGATTATCAATAAAAAAAGAAAAGCTTATTGGATTACAGCTGTTTCAGTACCTCTCTTTTGGCTTTGCCTCTGAACATGTCATCTGTGTGTTTGAAGGCTCTTTTAAAAGCAGTTGCTGTGTCCTTTTGAAGCATCTCCTGTTTACTCAGAGCAACATGAAGGTGAGTTGCAGCATAAATGGCAGCATCAACCCCTCCGTGGCCATCAAACACAGCATAAAAGGCACGTTGAACTCCATCCTGCTCCATAGTAGAARCAGAAAACACCATTATTAATTTTTTTTATTAAGCAATAATGAGGAAGGAAATTTAGAAACAAACACTGTGCATTGCAGTGGAAGTTTTGCACCTGGATACCAAAGAGCTCGTTGAATTCAGCTAGGGCCAAATGCTTGTCTTCCATCTTCCTCCTTGTGTTCTTGATGGAATAAATAGAACATTGGAAGGTGCGAGAGCCAGAAGAGGGCAACTTGGGGAGTTCTCGAAGCCATGTCACAGCTACATCTATCAGCTTCCTCAAGAAGAGGCGTTGGACTGCTTCTGATTGAAAGACTGACAGAAAAAATTCACATAAAAAACTTTATACACACATACATAGAAATTAAACATTTTTTATACATATACATTTTTTATTCAAATACAGGTAAAATAAGTATTATAT